AAGAGTAAAGCTGAGAGTAGTGAAGGCAGTTTGGATCAAGTCCTCGTCAAGCACAAGTCGAGGTTGGAGAGGGAAAAAATAATACCGGTTTGTGTTGTTGACGAGCAACAGAGTAAAGACGGGGAAACCAACACGAGACATTCTGTTTCGCGCAGAGAGGCTCGGGAGAGAGAACTTCAGGCAGCATGGGGTGGATTGAGCTTAGGAAATTCCATGAGGCCTCATGTTTCAAGACTTCAAAGAGATAAGGCAAGATTCTTAGTCAATTCGTGCTTCAGTCTTTTTTACTTGATGAAATCTCGTTTTCGATAAATTTATTTGTTTATTATTGATGTGATCGATCGTGTGTTGTTCTCCGTGTTTAGGCCGCGTGGATGAAAGCCGAGGAAGAAGAAAGGAAAAGGGCAATGGAAGAACAGGCAGCATGAAGTTTTCAAAGTACATAGTGTTGTGTTAATACTTTTCTTCTCCCCTAATTAATTAGGCTTTTTCATGTGTGTAAGAACTGTAAAGGGGAGCTTATTAATTACATTTGCCAACCATCATCAACTGTTGAATTTTATGATGTTTTATTAGTCTCACTTTTCATTTGTTATAATAAAAAGTAACATGAAAAAGAAAATATTTTTTTCCCAGAACTGCCGTTGATTCAATTTCCCCAAAGTCCATGTGTGATATAAGCAGTGTTCTAAAAGTCGTTAGGCGCTCGACCAGCGCCTAGCGCCTAGAGCGCCTAGGCGGGACCTAGGCGGCGCCTAAAAATCAATACTAAATATCTTATTTTTTATTTATTTTAACTACCTACAAAATAACATTATTTCAACTTATTACTACATTTTAAAGAAAACATGAGAACGAATTAATGTAATTAATATTTAAAAAATTAAAAAAATTAAAAAAAAAAAATGAAAAATGGCCGTCGAGCCCGCCTATGAGCGCCTAGGTCCGCCTATGCCCGCCTAAGCGCCGCCTAACCGCCTGACCGAGCCCGCCTAGAAGCGCCTAGGGCCGCCTAGGCCCGCCTAGGCGCCGTCTA